ATGTATATAATGTATATTACATTATATCTGTACACCACTAAGAGAAGAGTGCCTGACTAATTCCACAGATACTCCCTTCTCTCTCTAAGCAGCACACAAGGTCAGGTTGTAGATAAAGGACCAACTATCAGTGCATTGTAGTGTCTATGCTACAGACTTTCATATCTAACTCTGATGCGCCAGACAGAGAGGCACCAACTTCAACTCTTTTGCGTATAACACCAGTATCCAATTCACACAGGTGCAATATTGATCATAGTCCCTTTGTGGCCCAAGAAAACACAGATACTTCCTCCCACCAGGGCCTGTGTTGTGCTGCCACCCACATGAGTACTGGTCTGATATCGACATCCTCCTGATTCTTTCTCCACTCTGCCCTATCCACAGCCACTAGTCCCCCTCGTGATGAAGGCAGCTTTGGGTCTGGCCTCAGGGCGAGGAGGACCTGCCAATATATGTTTCGCAGATCCAGGGATGAAAACCAGGAAGACCCTGCCATTGAATTAAGGGCCTTTCAATGCGTGGGAGTGGGTATGGGTCCTTTTTGGTCATTTTGTTCAGGGGCCTAAAGTCCACACACAACCGAAAGTCATCCTTCCGCTTTTTAAGAACTATGACCACTGGGAGCCCCAGGAGCTGGGTGAGGGCACAATGAGTCCAGGCATCATGGTCTCATCCTATTGAGTTGTGCATCTCGAGTTTCTATGCTATGCTCGATGAGATCTGTCCAGTCAATATTGTTCTCTGACAATGACAAACAGTCTTTGAACTCCAGCAGGAGCTGCAGCAACAGACTGAAGTTTCAATATGGTGGGGAAAATGGTTGTCTTAATCTCACTCTCATCACAGGTTTCACAAGAGCTTGCGTCCACCAGTGCAAAACACTGTTCCTTCGATAGTCATTGGGACATATCAGCAGTCTCCAATCCAACTGTGGCCCAGCATGAGTTGTCGTTCCAGCTGGCCGTCAACCTCATCTGCTGGTTGTAACATCCCCACTTGATTAATATTCCTTGATGTCTCCTCGTTAGGAGGGGGTCGGACACAGAAGCAGGGCTCCACATCATCCCGATTAGGCTGACCCTGATTAGCTGGGTTGTGAGGGATGCTCCTCTCACACACAGAGGGTCATACATGCTGCCCAGCAGATAGTCCGAGGCCGTCTCCTGCCATTTGAAGAAATACACAGCTCCCGTGGCCTCAAGAACACTGCCAGGATCCTTCAGGACCCTTCACACATTGACTGTTGAGGGCAGACGCTTCAGATCCATAAAGCAAGGACAAACGGACTAAGGAATATTTTTTACCCATCAGCCGTTAAATTACTCAATGCTGCTAGATAACCTACCATGTGCAATAAATCATCACCATGTGAAATACAATCCCACGTGCAATACATCATAAGCAATATTTTTGATAAATGTATGAATGGACGACTGTATGATTGCTATTAGTTAAGGTTTTTCTCATTCCTTTCTCTATAGCATAGTGTATTTTTAGTTTTTACTTTTTTTTTTTTCATACAGACCTTTTATCTATTTATTTTCACTGTTAAGACTGCGCCTTAATTATGTTGTACAATGCTACATTGTTACAATGACAATAAAGATTTCTGATTCTGTGACGCGATTTTTCTGTTTGAGCTCACCCTCGTAGGCTAACAGGCTAATCTATTATCGATGGCTTCTCTCCCTCCCTCTTGCTCCACTGCTGTCTCCTGCTCCAAGTGTCTGATGTTCACTTACTCCTCTACCTCCCTTAACAGTAGTGGTACATGTGACAAAAGTAGTGTATTGGTAGCGATAGAAGCTCGGCTCAGCAACTTAGAAGCTCGGCTCCACAGCTTAGAACCTTTGTTAGCTGTAGTTAGCCAGCCACCACTAGCCACCGCTGAGCCACCTAGCTTAGCCCTGCTAGCAGTCCCTCGACTTGTTGGTTTTGAGAAATGTGACATTAGCGACACCAGCGGCCATAGTCATTTGTATGCTGATGGTATATCCTGATGGCTGCAGTGGATCATGAAGATGGATTATAATGGTGTATCCTAATCGTGGTGGCTGCTGATCGTGGACTAATTACGACAAGACTGCTTGATATACAATATGTCTGCTCAGATACTTACTAACCATAATTCC